CAATGTCTAACGAATTGGTACTGTTTGAGTTTCAGGAAAATGAATGATGAGTGCGCACCGTAGTACGAAGAAACACAAGGCGCCTTCTGCGTAAGCAGTCGAATCCATTCAGTCTTGAAGACGCTGAATTCATACGGCAATACCGACTTTTTAAACGATTGGTATTTGGACTTTGCGAAGAGCTATGGCCAATGTTAAGAAAGCCGAAAAAAGCTACGGTACCCTTAGCACGAACCAATATCGAATTCGTATCGTTTGCGAGTATCAAATTTGTCATCAATATTGGTTCGTGCTAACGGTACTGATTTGTCTATTGAGACAAAAGTAGGTACATTTGAATATTTGAAATGTAAATATTTACAATAACTATTCTCTATTTTATTGCTAAGTGCTTAAAGAAGTTTCTAATGACAATATATAAAGTTCTAGGTGTTGACTGCATTATCATTTTATGCGACTAGGTCGTATCAAACACCCATCGGTGGAATTAGATGCCGACAACAACTTTGTTTAGTGTCATAGCACATGTCACTAGTTTAATAACTTTTAACTGTATGACACAGCAATGAAACTGCAGCTGAACAATTAATGTATAATTTCACATTATGTAATGAAAGGTGACTTTATGAATAATCTCTGAAGTCATTTTTCAACTTGACGACTCTGTAAATAATAAATCAGGGAGAAGAAACCACCCTTGCTGAGTTTCTTGTCGGTTCTTCTCAGTACAAAGTCTAACGTCGTAGATTTACGAACCGATTGCGTAGCTTCAAGACATGAGTGCTTGTAACAGGCTTACTGAATATATGATTTTGATTGATTGATAATAGATTCACCAGCAATGAGGAAAAAGTGCATCATTTTTCCGAAAACTGCCGAAGAACGAAATAAAGCCAAAATAGAGTATTTATTACATCATTTGTGTTACAACATTTATAGTACGTTACGGTACTGTGTAGACCACGTACCAACGGTCTCACTTCCTGCCACCCCGTCAACTAATTAGTGCGCAGATTTCTAAGAGATTCAATGTCTCCGTACCTACTCAGACAAAAATATAAACCAATTAAAGGTTAAAGAAAATATAACTAGAAAAAATCCACGCGCACCAGGCAGCAGACGGGACTCGCACCCTTCGCAATCCGGGCGAATGCACTGACCAATTATGCTACCGTGGCCCTCACGGACCGCGTCGAAATTCTTCTAGCCATTCTTAAGCTGCAAGGCATTCATTTGACATTGTGGGTTACCTATAATGCGAAGCGATGGCGATTGGTCAGTGCATTCGCCCGGATTGCGAAGGGTGCGGGTTCGAGTCCCGTCTGCTGCCTGGTCCGCGAGGAATTTTTTCTAGTTATATTTTCTTTAGATTAAAACATCGAGCAGTTACATGCTTTAAAATAATAAAAAATACAATTAAAGGTTCTTGGTAAGGAATAGGAAACGGAAAATTTGATAATTTTTCCAAGTAAGAAATAATATTATATATACTTAAGCGACACGTGGAAACATTTGATAATAACATTTACTAATGTAATGTGAAAACATCCACAAATATAAACCAATTAAAGGTTCTCGGTAAGGTACAGGAAACGGAAGTTTTTTCCACTGCTAATCAAGAAAGAAAGAATATTATATCTCCTTAAGTGACACGTGGAAACATTTGATAATAATATTTACTAATGTAATGTGAAAACATCCACAAATATAAACCAATTAAAGGTTCTCGGTAAGGTACTGGAAACGGAAGTTTTTTTCCACTGCTAATCAAGAAAGAAAGAATATTTATTATATCCACTTAAGTGACACGTGGAAACGTTTGATAATATTTACTATTATGTATAATGTGAAAACACGATCTGTTTGATGGTTTAACTTGAGTTTGATATTCAATCAAGATCTTGGTACAGCGTTGCCAGATTTTTTTTTCCAAGTCGGGATTTACGAACTTTTTCAGTGCAAAAGCGGGATTCTTTCGGCGAAAGCCGCACTCTCTCAGTACGCTGCACACCCGCGCTCTCTCAGTACGCTGCACGCACGGTTGAGTTATTCCCGAAAAGCGGTATTGAGCCTGTCCCGCGCGGGACATTTAATTTTGTTTTAAAAATCGGGACGTCTGGCAACGCTGTCTTGGTACCACATTCGAAAAAGTGGTCTTAAACCTGAAGATTCAGTTCAATTACAGGATTCTCACGTTTTCACTTTGTTTCCATTTGTCCGTTACATGTACAGTTAGCAATTTACTGTCTGCTAATGAGTATGCCTTACTTTACACCAGCAAAGCCATTAATAGTTTTCAGATTTTAAAACTTATCAAGTTATGAAAATAACTATATTGAAGGTTATATTCCAAGTCACCTACATTACCTAAGTTAACTTCACCTTTATATCTCTAAAGAAAATTTTACAAGAAAAAAAATCCACGCGCTCCAGGTTTCAGACAGGATAGCGGATGATACGACTTCGATCCCCGTCTGAAACCTGGACTAAGCGGAATTATCCTAGTAAAATTTTCTTAAGATACAAACATCTAGCAGTTAAATGCAAATATTAAAAACAGAATAATTATGGTGATTGAATGATTCACCAGCAATGAGTAAAAAGTACATATTTTTTCCGAAAACTGCCGAAGAACGAAATGAAACCAGAACAGAGTAATTATTAAATCATTTCTGTACGTTCATTAATTCGCATTCGCATTATAAATAATAAATATTATAATTATAAAGGACATTGCTCGTTCCCCATACATTGAATGCCCTATAACGCCCAGCAATGAGAAAATGCTAGTTGTGTTCGGAATCATTCATAAACTCTAATTAAGCATTTGTTGAGATACGGACAACTTGAGGAACCGTGGCCTACTACAGAATGTATTAGATTTTGAGGTTATGATTATTATACTTAATCGTAAAAGATGTACACTTTATATATTCTGAATAGATTTAGTTTTTACCTCTATGTAAGCACTGAAATAATATGCATTAAATGAACGTAAAATGCAATTAATAATAAAAATAATAAATGCTTATATTCATATTGATTTATGAGTGTTGTCAGTTGGCACCTATGATAATAGATTTCTTTTCAAATGAAATGTTCAGTCTTTCCATTTACCTGTTTCTATATTTTACTATCGGTAATTAGGTATGTACCTGGTTATCAATATGATTTTCATAAAAATAAACAGATATTACATGGGATGGGAGTATAAACTATATTTACATAATTTCAGAAATAATCTTTTTATAAATATAATATAAATACTAGTTATAACTATTATTGACTAAGGTACCTAGTTCTATTTTTATGTTGATAAATACCTATGGTCGCCTATATTGCATTCATTAAGGTAAACAATCTTGACACAACTTCTTAACAGAATCACCCGTTTAATAATAAAATATTAACGAAGCCAATAAACTATTAAAATAAATCGTCATTATAGACTGAAACCTATTGAATCTAGTTATCAGTTGATTTTTAATGCTGTATTTTCAATAAAAAGGAGTGCCAAGTTGGATGAACAGACTGTAGTATCTAGTAACAGAACTTTTATTTTTTATTTTCTTAAACAGATTGTCCGTTTACAATGATTAATTGCTAATAAGTTAAAAAAATCATATAAAAATAATAGTGAAGGACATTCTTTTGGGCATGCTAGGGCCGATTTCGTCGATGTCCTTTCAGATTTTACCAAAGGTTTGGTATACCTGGTATGCTTGGCTGCATAGACTGCACTCAAATTGCAATACTACGGTCAAAAAATAACGAAGAGAGATATTTTTCTTGAAAATACTAACATTCTGTCAACGTTCAATTGTTGAGATAATTTTAATTAAAATATATTATTCTATTATGACAGTGGTGTCAATTCTGGCATGATTTTCTAAACCTAAACTTAAATTTGACAACAGTGTATCCTTGTCATTCTCTATACAGAATAAGAAGGATCGAATGATGTTAAATTTAGTTTTAAATTTAGAGAATTACGCCAGAATCGGTCACAATTACTACATATTTTCATGATTATTAGTTACTTCTTGATTTTAAGAATATGTGCTCCTGTTTTCTTTCAGATCTGTAATGCTAATCTGCAAATAACTAGTGTAGATGCTAGTTATAGAGTCGCTATACACGATTCCTTTATTTTGAATAACCATCCAATAGAGAACCATCTAGAAAACCTTAATTAATCGGCTTGCTACTTGGTAAGATTTTTAAAATCAAACAAAAATAAAATTCAAAGTTTCATATCATCTATACATACAAAAAAATGGTAGGAAAGTCAAAACTGTACATTGAATATTTTTTTAAAAGAACACTTGGGGTGTTATCTACAATCGATACCGAAGCCAAAAATATAGTTTTTAGAATTTTTGTCTGTATGTATGTGCTGGATGAACTCTAAAAGTACTGCATGGATTTACTTCAAATTTGGCACGAATATTACTAAGAAGTCGGGTCAACATATAGGCTACATATTATCATGCTATCACCTACGGGGAACAAGCAGTGAACCTTTATTTCTTCAACGCATTCTATAACAACGTGTAATCTAACGACGCATATTTTAATGTTGTTATTATGTTAACCATGCTATAAGCTAGCTTCACACTATAATAACACCTTCTCGCCGGTGACCAAAACTGGGTTGACACCCTCGTTAGTGACAGTCCCAGCCGCATGCGTCATCTGTTTGCCGTCATCTTGGTGTTTTGTGGAGTCGCGAACCCGGTAGCTATGTGGGAGAAGTATCGCCATCATCTGTCTGAAGATTTTCTACGAGCTTTTAGGCGTGCTACTGAAGACGAAGTCGAAGTAACTGATGAACGCGTGCTGAACACCTGTCTCAGTTCGCTTCACGACGTGGTCATTTCTATCGGCGGCAATCCACTGGTCGAATATGGGTCACCAGCTCCCCGATCATCACCGCATCAAGACCGTGGAAATCGGGAGTATAACGCTGAGACAATTTACGAACCGGGCAAAATGACCACCATACGAAATGACCATGTCGCTTTGTTCTCTTCAGAGCAAGGCAAACCAGGATAAAAAAAATTTCTTGGATGCTCCTGGTGGAACAGGAAAAACATTTGTTACCACTGGCATACTTGTAGAGGTCAGGAGGCAAGGCAAAATTCCCATTGCTGTAGCGTCGTTGTCAATCGTTGCCACGCTGCTTCCGGGTGGCAAGACAGCACATGCCATGTTTAAAATTCCCATCGATTTAGAGAGCGCCGAAACGCCTGTTTGTGGTGTGTCACGTAACAGTGATAAGGGACACGTGCTCAAGGATTGCTCTCTGATCGTATGGGATGAGTGTACGATGGCCAACAGGAAGGCAGTTGAAACCGTGGACAGAACACTGCAGGACATCCGCAGGAACGAACATTTCATGGTTGGTGTCACAGTTCTGTTCAGTGACGATTTCCGACAAACGCTTCCCGTGTTGACGTGTGGATCGAGGGCTGACGAGTTGAATGCTTCGTGAAACGATCTTCGTTGTGGTCACAAGTTTGTACGCTGCGCTTGACCATTAATATGAGAGCTCGGCTCGGCGACAATGCACGTGCTCAAGAATTCTCCGATGTCCTTCTAAGTCTTGGCGAAGGCACTCTACCAGAGGAGAGAGGTGGACAGTTGGTGCTTCCAGAGTCTCTCGGTAGAGTTGTATCTAGCTTAGAAGAACTCATTCGCTCTGTGTACTTGGACATCAGTCGTATACCGCACCAGCAGAATTCTTGGGTATGTGAGAGGGCCATTTTGACGCCCAAAAATGATCAGGCTGCAGCAATTAACGAATGCATTCTTTCGGAAATTGAGGGGAATGAAATGGTCTACACCTCTATAAACACTGCCGTCGAGCAAGATGACGCCACACATTATCCCGTGGAATTTCTGAACGCCCTGTCAGCAAGTGGTCTTCCAGCGCATACCATCAAGGTTAAGGTTGATGTCCCGATTATGCTTCTTCGGAACCTATCTCCTCCTAAGTTGTGTAAGGGGACCCGCCTTAAAGCCATCTCACTCCACAGACACACCATTGAGGCGGAAATTAATACGGGTTGTGGCGTCGGCGAGGCAGTATTTATACCACGCATTTCCCTCATACCTCATAACACCCCGTTCCAGTTCAAGCGCGTACAGTTCCCCGTTAGTGTTTGTTTCGCGATGACCATCAATAAGCCGCAGGGATAGACACTGAGGGCAGCGGGTATCGACCGCAGGAAGAGCTGCTTCTCACACGGGCAACTGTACGTCGCTTGCTCCCGCGTCACCAGTCCTGACTCTCTTTACATTTTGGCTGTGGAGAGCCAAACCACTAATGTTGTTTATCGAGAAGTCCTATAAGTATGTATTTTTACCCTATTCTGTATACCTTATTCATTATTTTCTCCATCTGCTTCAGTTACAACTTATGACTTAATTCAGCAGAATCACCATGGAGTCATTATTTCAAAGCAGGCCGAAAATCAGCACTTTTTGAAGGTCAATTTACAAAAGACAGTATCTCTCTGTTACTGCACTTTCTGTAGATATGAAATGTAAAGAAGAAACGGCTAAATGAATGTTATTTTATAAGGTATAATCGTAGGTATTTTTGGTGCTGTATAGCGTTCGTGCAGACGACGTCGCAGCGAACTCACTTGTTAATCACGAAATCTTAGAAACTATAACATCTACAAACTTAAAATTTGCCAGGTAGGTTTCTTATAGGCTGTACATATGTACAGTATCTTAGCGGATAACCGCTAAGATCGAATTTCACGAAACTCCACCCCTAAGGGGGTAATACGGGGGTTGAAGGTTTGTATGAAAGTAATATATTTTTGAAGTAAGCGATTTAAAATTTAACATGTATGCTCTATAGATCATGTGGAGGTGTACTAATAATGTATCCGTAGAACTAAACCCACTTTTCGGGATAAAAAGTATGTGCAAATAACTAACTCCACGCGTACGAAGTCGCGGGCGGCCGTTAGTAAAAAATATACACTTATTAAGTTATTATTACATACATACATGCATTTTACTCCTCTGAAACGACTTCACTGTTTTTTTATATATATTTGGTAGGACTGAGAATAGGTCGTAGGCTTTTTTATCCTCCTAGGTGAGGATGGCGTGGGTTTGTTAGACATCCACGCGAACGAATACGCGGTCATATTTAGTCTTTATGTATAAAAATAAATCCCAGTTTTCCTTGATCACGTTCACAATTCGAGAGCGACTTTTCATCCGTCTTTGTTATGTTTTCTAATACTTTGAAGAAGGTTCTTACGGAAAAAAAAACGCGCGAAACTAAAGTTATCTGGAACAAAGTCGCGGGAATATACATACAATAAAATCAGTCACTATTCCCGTTAAATTATGCTTTGAAATTGGATATAAATGTTAATTATATTTTCAGGTGACTCTGGATATCCATTAAGGAAACATTTGATGACTCCTATAGTTGATGCAGCATCCGCTACACCAGAGAGATATTACACCGATATGCATGTCCAAACGAAAAATGTAATTGAAAGGACAATCGGAGTTGCCAGTTTCTCTCTGCTGCCCTTGTGTTCCGCTCTGATAACTGTACTTGGGTGAGTCGGATTTCTTGCGTCATTGGCGGTTCTCGGCGCGCCATTGTACGACGACACGAGGAGATCGCTGTGGAGTGCGCGACTCATCAGGTGCAATTATGGGACCTGCGCCTGCTGGTGGTGTCGGCGATCGTGTAGACCATGCCTACCATCAAATCATCTAACCATCTCAAACTGCGTAATGACGCAGTTTGTGATGGTGATGGTAGTGGAGGGATACTGCAACCACCGCCATCTGGTTGTGAAACAACAGCAGCGCTAGGCTGAGGACTAGATCGAGCCGCAGCGTAGCGGAGCCGTAAGGCGTGGAGGCGCCAGGCAGTGCTCGCGGAGCAGTAAAGGCGCAGCTTTACTTCGGAGCACTTAAGGTTGAACAGATCCGTGCGCAGCGACGTAGATACAGTCCTCGAATTCGAATAGTGTGCGAGTACGAAATGTCCTTGTCAAATTTTGTATGGAAGCTTGAACAGCAGCGCCACAACGGACGTAACGAGATTTTAAAAACACATTTGACGTATTAATTAGATTAAAGGTTCATGCTAAGGATACTGAATCGAGATTTTGGTCGATCGAAAGCATCCAGGCATGCAAAGTCAAGGCAAGCCAGCCTTTAGCCTCGATGACACGGGGCGAGTTACAGCGAGTTCGCTAGTAGCTTGTAAACTCGCCCCACATCATCGAGTAGCAGATGATACGGAGCGAGTTCACAGGCTGCTAGCAAACTCTCTGACTTGTAGCTTGTACACTCGCCCCGTTTCATCGAGGCTTTAATCATTAAAACTGCTGGTTCTTAAGGGAAAAGTGGAAAGTTTTATAAATAAAAATAAATATTTAAGCTATTATTACTAACAATAACAGAACTGTGTTACTTATACCGCTGATATTTCTTACCTAAGTATGCACCTTAGTATTAAACAAACAAAAAAAACGAAGCTTGCTTATTAGAAATTTTGAATGCTGTCAATTTAGTGTACAAAGACTTTTATTGGCAAATGATCTGTATGAATTAAGTGTTGATAATGTGAATACTATCTCACGCCGCCTTGAAGAATAAATGAAAGATTCCGTGTACTTTACCGCAATTTGTAAGTTTATTAAAGCTACAATAAGAAATATTGAAAATGAATCAAATAGACTTGGCTTAAAGGATTTGTACCCAAGCCATATACATTAAAAAAAAACAGTTTCTGAATGTGTGAGTCTTAATTTAATTTTAAGTTAAGATTGAAGAATGACCGGGGGCTAATCGTCTCACGGGATTGCTATGGCTATCGCTATCGCTTACGATTTTATTTTGTTATTTCTAACCGCTGTAAGTTTTCAAATACCTCATGATCGTTTTCTTTAATATTGTTATACCAATTCAAAAGAAAAAATACAGCGCGATGCATTTAAAAACCTTCGGCGGCCGTCGCTAGTCGATTGACCTCCTCGCTGCAAATCCAAGGGAGTGTCCACGGGAATAAGATTTAAAATAAAATTTATCTGAATCATAGTGACACCTTTACCAATCCCGCAAGATAATATAAAACTTGAAATATTGTGTGTCCTTGTGTACGAGTACATACCATCTACTCCGTGCATTAAGCATAAGTTCTTTTAATGTTGGTGCGTTTGTTCAGTTGGACAGTGTCACTATGGCAACGAGTCGATGGCGTGGCATATCGATCCGTTAGCCTCTTGCCAGCCTCAGAGGCCTGCCGCTAAATTCAGAAGAGGTGTAGGTGCCGGATGTTACTTCAGTACTGTGTAGACCACGTACCAACAGTCTGACTTCCTGCCGCCGTCAACTAATTAGTTAGTAGAGGTCTAAGAGATTCGGTGTCTCAGTACCTACTCAGACAAATATAAACCAATTAAAGGTTCTCGGTAAGGTATAGGAAACGGAAGATTTATTGTCGCCGTCAACTAATTAGTGCGCAGATTTATAAGAGATTCGATGTCTCAGTACCTACTCAGACAAATATAAACCGATTAAAGGTTCTTGGTAAGGTATAGGGAACGAAAGATTTGATGATTTCTCCACTGCTAATTAAGTAAGAAATAATATTACATCTACTTTAGCAACACGTGGAACGTGATATTAATATTTACCTACTAAGTACTATGAGTGTGAAAACACCGATCTCTTTGATGTTTTAACTTGAGTTTGATACTCAATCAAGATCTTGGTATCACATTCGAAAAAGTGGTCTTAAAAACCTGAAGATTCATTTCAATTACAAGATTCTCACGTTTCCGCTTTGTTTCCATTTGTCCACCCGTTACATGCACAGTAAGCAATTTACTGTCTGCTAATGAGCTTCCCTTACATTTCACCAGCAAAACCATTAATGATTACAAATTTTAAAAATTATTAATGTTATTGTCCCTTATATTCCAAGTCTCATCTACATTACCAAAGTTAATTTCACCTTTATATATGTATACTAGCGGACCCGACAGACGTTGTCCTGTCTACACTTACCACACACACTACCTGTCTTTGTGAATCTAAACCATTCTCAGATCCCCTTGAACACACACAAAAAATTTCATCAAAATCGGTCCAGTCGTTTAAGAGAAGTTCAGTGACATACACACTCACAGAAGAATTATATATATAAAGACTAGCTGACCCGGCGAACTTCGTACCGCCTTAGCGTAGCTTTGATGCACTACTTTGACATTGACATTCGTTACGTTATATTTTTCAATCTTTCTGAGAGATTTTCTTTATATTTTTTTCCGTAAGAACCTTGTACGTAGTATTAGAAAAGTACAAAAAAAAAATCAGCCAAATCGGTCAAGCCGTTTTTATGTTCTGTCGTGACAACGGAAAACGGGTTTCATTTTTATATATATAGATAAAGAAAATTTTGCTAGAAAAAAAATCCACGCGCTCCGGGTTTAAGACAGGATAGCGGATGATACGGCTTCGATTCCTGTCCGAAGCCTGGACTTAGTAGAATTTTCCTAGTAAAATACAAACATCCAGCAGTTGAATGCATAAGTTAAAAATTTAATAAACTTCACCTTGACTAATATCGGCATTATTGTATAGTTGAATGTGTATACTACACTTATCTGTTAAGGGAAAGAAAGGACTTCTTATGACTAAACACATACATAGTGGAAGTAAGGAGGAAGTCTCATAAAAATCTTTTCATTTAATAGCTAAAATATAATAAATATTGCCAATTATGTAATTGTACCTATATAAATGCACTGGAGGCCTAAGGTATTTACGGAGAGTTATGGACGAAATAAGTGATGTTTTTGTTGATAGTGACGTAAATTAAAATCTAAATTTTGTTAGAAAGAAATATTATAGGTACCTTTCTTAACAGTTAAGATGTATTAGTTGCCTGTGGACTGATTGCTATGAATAACGGTCACATTGGAAGATTTCTAAATTATAGTTTTCTGTCTGGGCCATAGGTACCTATTATCGGTGATCGATGATACGTTCATGGCGCTATCGCCAGTATCTCCTTCTGCACAGCAAATGTCAATGCAAAGTTAAACAGCGACAGATCCTGGTTAACGGTACTTCTCTTCCAAAATAAAACAGCAGAAGGAGGCCACCTAAGCTGGCACTATCCTTCGTTTTGCTGCCAGCAGAGGTGTTATAACCACCTATTTCTATTTCTTTGTATTTTGTATTCACTGAAAATGGAAGACGCAGGCAGCTGTGGCACAATTTTATACTATTGCAGCTACCGACGTTAATCTCTTAATTGTGTTTTTCTTTCACGTAATACATTAATAATTACTAAAAATTAATATTCCGCCTACGTGTAGATCGAGTCTCCGGATTCCATGAAGCTGGTACTAGCAAAAGATGGTTACTTTTAGGTTTTTGGTGAGGTTAGTTTAGATCCCGATAAGCCGACAAACCAGCTATAATCTAGAACGAGAGGAGAAGAGAAGACCCGCAAAGCCTTTAGGCGAGTAAAAAGTTCAAAGAATTTTATACAGCTAGAGGCGCGGTCGGGAGTCTAAAAGAGATAGTATACGATGACAGTTTAGATAAAATGCTATTTATTTATGTACCTAAGCAGTTGCTGTACTACACATTGCGCTGTATACACCATGACGTTGCAGTCAGCAGCGTGCTTCTGACTATGTTGGTATAGATGTCGGTTTCGTAATTTGTGGTAAGGTTTATTTGAAGGACAAGACAAAAGAACAAAAATGGAATGAATAAAATTGTTTGCATATACCTTCGTTATAATGGTGGACACTCACCAATCACCATTCTGCCGCTTGATCAAACCAAATTAACTGGGTTGGGGAGACGTTTTGGAAGGACAACTTGATGGAAGGATTTTGGCTTGATCAAGCCACTTGATGAAGTGGCATGGTGAGAGTAGCCACCATAATACCTTACATATAAATATGTAGAGCTTACTTATTATTAATTAGTTGGGCAGTAATGTTCCACAAGCT